TTAATTTCCAATGCCGTGCTCACAGGGTTGCACTGCAAGTTAATACAGGGTGAGGGGCCCGCCATAATGATCCAAATCAGGTCCAGCGTTTGCTGGCATGGACTTGGTGTAATACAATAGTCATCAAAAGCAGAATAAGGGAGTGCCAGTAATTATCATTCAAGCTTTAATGGATTAAGCATCAACAAAATCAAATTTTCTGATTTTCTTAAAGGAACTTCAATTTGCAACACTATGTTACACGACTAATCAAATTATATTTAAAAGTACTAGTATAGAGTCTAAATTGTCTACAGGTTATGTGCAAACTATACTATATACTACTATACTCTCAAATGCACAGTGTGAATCACGTGATATAAGGTTCGTTTTTTAACCAATATTTATAAATAAGGTTAATTCTGGATGTATGGCTTGACATTATAAACTGGTATAGATGAGTGACATAGCATACACAGACACAACGGAAGACTCAGGCCAAATTTCTGGTAGCAGCCAGTCTACCTCTATCTGGCTAATGACTCACCTTTTGCTAGCTTATTATACGCAACTCAATTTAGAAGCATTTAACTATCACTGCTTGTAGCATTATATTGCAGAGGTCGAATATAATATCTGATGTTTTATTCTAGATTTACTGCAGCATATGGCCCCACAGGTTAGTTTACTGTACATCGAGCTTTTGGATGTGATACATAGATCTGACAGGGACAGGTTACTTGGTTGCCATGGTGATGTTCAAGATTCATAACAACAGAACTAAATATAATCTAGAGATCTTGTACTTATTATGCCATCGGCAAGCATAATATAGTCTATGTACTGTGTATCAAAATACATATGGCCTTATTATCAATATCAGAGGGAAAACAACAGCAGATCAAATAATGGAACAGCTTGTTAAAAGGACAAAACAGATAATTAAAGGATTTGGCACTATAAATAAAACAAGCAACATCCTGTCCAGATCTACAGCAGTAAATATTATGGAGAACATTTCTGATAATTTTTGCAGTTTATCTGATATAGAGGCGAGGGCTGGCTGCCATATAGTTATTCGCTCAGTGATGACTGGACAATAACATATGATCTAAAATAAGAAACGTTTTGAACCACATTTGGATAGGTTTTTCAGTGCACACAAAAAGAATACAGACACGAGCAGATTCAGTACAAACGACTCAAGTTCAAATCTTCAATTGATTATCACAATATTAAACTGAATTTTGAATCTGGAAAGTATTATTCAATCAGGAAACCTACCTTCTGAAATTGTCAGGAAACCAGTTTATCACATAATCAGTACACTGTACACATAGTATATGCACTTTAATATTTTTGATATGCTAACATGTTAACATATAACTTTTTGATTCTAATTGGTCCAAATAAACCCATAAAAATTCTTTCACAATATTGTCTTTACCGATTGACTGTATCCTTGGGAATTTTCCTTACCGCGCTTTCTGACAGATTTTCTTTACTCTTACTACATGACAACATTTGTGTTGCCATTTTTTAAATCATTTCCCTGTGGGTTATTTGGAAAAAATGGTTGTCTGTCATAAGATGGCCAATTTACCTCACAAGAGGCTCGTTAAATATAACACTAAGGTTATTAGCCAATGGATGGAGGTTGGGGGACCTGTAATATGAACCCGACCCTATGGCGAACGTGATTTAAATGTGACCTTATACGAGTACATAAAATCACCTCTGTGACTTTTACATTGCAAAATAAATCTATAAAGAGCTATTGTTTCTTATTATTTGATGCAATTGTGACCTCAGTATATATAAAAGTCTAATATACCGTTCCAAATCAAATAATGCAAATAACTAGTCACAAATATATTAAAACAAATCTAGAATTTCTGCGTCTGGTAATCATCCCCTTTCACGAATATTCCTATGTGTGTGATTTAGATTTTTAACGTAGCTTTAACAATTGTTTCGTCTTATCACTACGATATCTGCAGTGTGACAGTTTATAGTGATATCTAGCACCTGGGTATTATGCCGCATACATGGCATGATGTCCCACCCAGTCACATTATCCTGACAGTCATTAAAATTGATCAATATGGATTGACTAACCTAAATCACCTATGTGACATCACATAGGAATTCCTATGCTGCCTGCTGATGCTGTCTGTGTGAGATGTTCTATTAATTTGAAAGCACAGTTGCTCTTTGAATTTTTTTGTAACATGTTTCTGGTTATAGAATTGCATATCATTCATTCAACTGGGACTACTGTTTCTTTGCAACAAATGAAAGGTACACCTTTGGAGCCAGTATGATAGAGATTGTTTTTCTTTCTCTCTTAAATATTTGCAAGAAATAAAAACTGTGATAAAAAGAATCAAAGATGGATAATGATACAAGATTAAACTATGATACCCGTTGAATGAGATTTAGGCAAGACACACAAAAGCTGAACATATTATAACCGTTTAATAAATGTACATGAAACTATTACCCATTTGAGATATTTTATATCTGCCATAGTAAAACTGCATGTTAGATGAGGGAAAATACATAGCATAGCAAGCAACAGCTGATTTTAAATTGAAGCTGAATAGAATCCATCAAAATTGTCTGTTTTCATTTATTCATACGAGGTTCAGTAATTGATTTAATCAATTTCTTAGTGTGTTTTATTTATTTAATTTTAACGTAAATACACATTTAGTTAAATTTATAAAATACTTATGACATGGTTTTGGATGAATGGTTGTGACAGTGAAAGAAATCAACATGGGGGTGCGTTCCCCATGCTATTCAGGTAATGATGGAAAGTACTAATTTTCTCAACTTGTCCCAGTTTTTCCTTGTTAACCGCTAAACATTTTACTGATACTGACGAATATATTAAATTTATACTAAATTTATATTAAATTTATACTAAGGCTTGTATTTTTATTAACGAAATATTGTAGTTTTCACTATGGAAACAAATTAAATAAGCGATGAAAACATTACAAATTGATGATATGCACTTAACATTAAAAACCCACTTTTAGTTATGGTGATGCATCAAGTCATTGTTGAACAGATTTTAACAGAATCATGTCAATGAAACCTGAACACAGACATTTCACAGAAATAAAAGAGACATATAACAAACTTCTAATGGATTATCACTTGTTCAAGATAAATTTATTCCTCAAACTTCCATGACATAAATGTCCAATCTTACTAATCACTGTTTCATTTGGCCTGATAAAACCAAGAGATTCGTGTAAATTGCATTAATGCTGACTTAACAGTAGGTGTCTAGTATATAACATGAACAAGGTTTTATTAACCCTACCCTGTTTGGTTTGTTTTGGAGAATCATAAAAAAACGCAGCAGCACATTACATTTTGTATCATGGCGAGGCAAGTAATGTGCCTTGCCTGTAACACACAATGAATATATTGTATGTAAAACAATATATCAGTATCAATGCAAAATTGTTTAAAGAGTGGCATAGCAAGAAATGATAACATTACTCCACCCAAACTTAATTCTGGGTCCCTGCCCAAAAAAGCTTGTTTTATAATAATTTTAGCTCCAACTCTAAGTTGTAATGGTTGCTTGGGCGGTTGTTAAGCCAGTTTAAGGAATCAACTGAAAATGAAATGTTTTAGTTGACAGTCAGAAATATGCCCAACTTTGGCCAAAACATAGGCTTGACCCCTCATAATGGATGGTGTTTTGGTTTTAATGTTTGTCGAAATCCGGGTTGTCATGAACGATAAATCAATATCAGTGTATACTTGATTAAGGAATCAATAACAAATCGAACTTTCCGCTGATGTTGTATCATAACACTTAGTTGACAAAATATTGTCACCAACCCACCCCTTTTCAACTAAATGAGATGGTATTTTGGTCTTAAATCATTAGTAAAGGCTATTATCTATCACCTTACATCAATTCCGACGTAAAATGTATCAAGGAATAGATTGCAAGTGACTTTTGTCGTACAATATTGGACCAAATTTCGTCACATACCCCCAGTCGTAGAATAGGGTTGCTATTTCGATATAAATATCTAGCAAAGTCTTAGGTGTCATGTAAAAAGAGATACCAGTCTCAATGTACAATTGAGCCGGGATTTTATTGCAGCTAAAATATTTTAGATGATTTTGTGCGTGGTGTGCAATATTCGCCAAAAAATTCATTACCTTCACCCCCTCGTAAAAGACTATTGATTATTTCGTCTTCATCTTTTGGCTCTATTTAAGGGGACGTAAATCATCTTATACCAATTTCGACGTAAATTTTATTAAGGGGTCGATTGGAAAAGGAATTTTTGAAATGACGCTGTGCAAAGTGTGCAATATTAACAAAATATCGTTGTTTGTACCCTTTTCATTCATCTTCCCCTACTAGTAAAAATGTTTGTAAAAAAATTGTATGACCGAATAGGTGATTAAGCTTGAACAAAAAATAACGACTGTTATAGTTTAAATCTACAGTATTAGTGAAGTTCAGATTGTATTACTATGAAACATAATATTAAAAGAATAATTTTGTTGAGGTTATATTAGCTCGATCTCTCCATATGATGCCATTTGTTTTGATCACGTGACAAAATTGCGTGGGGTGCAACGAAAGGAGCATGTGAAGCTGGGAATCATACTAAATCATATTTTACCGATTTTCCGTATATATCTAAATTGTACACAGGTTTGTTCTGGAAACATATGCATGCAGACAAATTGCAGATGTGTGTGTGTGTGTGTGTGTGTGTGTGTGTGTGAAAGAGAGGGAGAGAGAGATTTGGACTTTTAACGTAGTTTTAACAATTGTTCAGTTATATCACTACGATATCTGTAGAGTGAAAGTTTATAGTGATGTCTATCACTGGGGCATTATGCCGTATACATAAAGCACGACGCTCCATCCAGTCAAATTATCCTGACACAAGGCCGACCAGTCACAACACTAACTTCTTAATACTGAGCGCCAAGCAAGGCAACTGTTTGTTGCATTTTTATAAGTCTTTTGGTACGAGTCGGTCTCGAATCAAACCCACAACCTCCCGCAATCGAGGCGGACGCTCTAACCACTAGGACACCGGAGCGGTTATTTATTGATGTTTCCAAACTCCAACAATGATTCAAGCATGAATTTGTTACAAATACCAATGATGTTTCGTACACAAGTTGGATATTGACAAATATATATGATTTTCGCTAAAACAGTGATATCGAATCATTGGTCTTATTTTCACTCAGCAACGCTGAGTCGTTTAGCATTCAAACATAACTCGTGATGACCAGTAGACGCACGCAATGTGTTTTCGGCTTAAGAACCACCTTATTCGCTGCAAATCCTTTGGTTCCTCACCACGAGAAAACCACCATCTTCCTCCAAACTAATACCAGTACACAAGCGATATGAAACCCATTGAGCCAACGATTCTAAATCCAAGATATCAACTCTACATCCTAATTATATAAACCTTTAAAATTAGCTGAAGATATATTGTATACAGCCTACACGAAGCATGGTCAAGTACTAAAGGAATGACATGCGTAATGCTTGCGCTCACCTCAAGTTGTTTTCTTGTTGTATATTAAACAAACTGTTTTATTATAACTACTGAACCAGATTATTACTATGATAAACAGGTTCGTACATAAATCTATCCGACAAGACTAATATCATTATTTGAATATAAAAAGCTAAACATATTCTCATCATTTAATACATGAAACATGACATTAAAATCCAATTAATCTTTTCAGTTATGAAATGGCTAACTTGAAAACAAGACTATAGTTTATCAAACAGCATGAAACGATATTAAAAAGGTCGGACAACATTTCAATAAATACTCAAACATCCAATGTATCAAGCAGCTCAATACAAATAAACAAAAACAAAATAATTGTATATTTCACATAATCCCACATGTGAAGGTTGCTATCGTTATTAAAGTTACAGGTGTATGCGTTTCTCAACGTACATGGATTCGTTGTGCAGAGCTATCTGTAAGATATTTTGTTTTTTTTTTTTGTTTTTTTTTTTGTTTTGTTGTTTTGTTCAACAAGCGTCTCATAAAGGTTACTGGTGCATTTATATCCAGACATGCAATAATGATATGGTTCCGTTGGGCAGAGCGCATTAGAAGTTAATTTCTATTACAGGCATTTTATTGGTCAGGAAGCTACCCTTAAAATGGATATATTTCTGACGAAACCTCTGTTGCATTGTGATATTAATGTTGTTTTGGAAATTATAATCGTATATGCATGGGCGTTTGCCTGACGACTTTTATGCTAAAGACCCGAAAGGGACTAGAGATCCCATCCAAAGGGTTGGACTCCAAACTAAAACCTCCCATGTGGTTGGCCGTCAGCCCGGCTCCACAGGGAGGCACATGGTCCAAGGCTGGTCCTTATCGCTACTGATCAGACCTTAAGACCTTGGCATTCACACGACGACTCGCACAGGAAGAACATTACCCAAGCCAGCAGCACGAAGAAGAGCACAAAGAGAGCCACCACCCCAGCAAGTCCTGAAAAGTGAAAAAAACACAAAAAAAAAAACCCAGAAACAAGACGACACTAACGGACATTAACAAAAAGAACCACGGCAGGAGATCTTTACTCTACATAGGCTTGTAGAGCTCAGAGTCCCACTCAGGACTATGATGGTATATTTTCCCTAGCTCCTGTTAGCGGAATCAAATGTCACATACCACAAAGAAAGAAACAATACAGGATAAGCCATGGCAGTAAATCGTTGATCTGCACGTGCTTGCAGATCTCTGGATACCACCCAGGTTGATTGATAGTATATTTTCTCTAGCATCTTTTGGAATGGCCACATATAACAAACAATTAAACAATGCATAACAAAAAATATAAAGTTGGTAGAAGGTTGCCACAGGGCCCTTAAAGGGGATGGTTTATAAGGCATTTTGGTTTGAATAGGGCTCCAGGGCGTAGCAGCAGTAATGTAGTGAAGTTTGATCAGTTCCACAGTAATTCTTGAAGTGCTTATGAAATCGATGAACCTGAAGTAGGTTGCGCCAGAGCCTTTATAGGGGATGGTTTATAAGGGATTTTGGTTTAAATAGGGATCCAGGGCGTAGCAGCAGTAATGTTGTGAAGTTTGATCAGTTCCACAGTAATTCTTGAAGTGCTTATGGTATCGATGAACCTGAAGTAGGTTGCCCCAGGACCCTTATAGGGGATGTTTTATAAGGGATTTTGGTTTGAGCAGGTCTCCAGGGAGTAGCAGCAGTAATGTAGCGAAGTTTGATTAGTTGCACCGTAGTTCTCGGAGTGCTTATGATATCGATGAAACTGAAGGAGCTTGCCCGAGAGCCCTTAAAGGGGATGGTTTATAAGGGATTTTGGTTTGAATAGGGCTTCAGAGCCTAGCAGCTACAAGGTAGTGAAAGTTGATCAGTCCCATCGCAGCTCGTAGAGTGTATATGGTATCGATGTTACTGTGGTAAGTTGCCCCAGAGCCCTTATATGGGGATGGTTTATAAGGTTTTTTGGTTTGAATAGGGCACCAGGGCGTAACAGCAGTAATGTAGTTAGGTTTGATCAGTTCCACCGTAATACTTGAAGTGCTTATGTAATCGATGAACCTGAAGCGGGTTGCCCCAGAGCCCTTATAGGGGATGGTTTATAAGGGTTTTTGGTTTGAACAGTGTGATTAGTTCCACCGTAGTTCTTGATGTGCTTACGATATCGATGGAACTGAAGTAGGTTGCTTCAGAGCCCATATAGGGGACGGTTTATGAGGGCTTTTGGTTTGAATAGGGCACCAGGGCGTACCAGCTACAAGGTAGTGAAGGTTGATCGGTCCCATCGCAGCTCTTGGAGTGCTTATGGTATCGATGAACCTGAGATAGATTTGCCCCAGAACCCTTATAGGGGATGGTCTATAAGGGTTTTTGGTTTGAATAGGGCTCCAGGGCGTAGCAGCAGTAATGTAGGGAAGTTTGATTAGTTGCACAGTAGTTCTTGGAGTGCTTATGATATCGATGAAACTGAAATAGGTTGCCGTAGCGCATTTAAAGGGGATGGTTTATAAGGGATTTTGGTTTGAATAGGGCTCCAGGGCGTAGCAGCAGTAATGTAGTGAAGTTTGATCAGTTCCACCGTAATTCTTGAAGTGCTTATGGTATCGATGAACCTGAAGTTGGTTGCCCCAGAGCACTTATAGGGGATGTTTTATAAGGGTTTTTGGTTTGAGAATGGCTCCAGGGCGTAGCTGCAGTAATGTAGTGAAGTTTAATCAGTTCTACCGTAATTCATGAAGTGCTTATAGTATAGATGAACCTGAAATAGGTTGCCCCAGAGCCCTTATAGGGGATGGCTTTTAAGGGTTTTTGGTTTGAATCGGGCTACAGGGCGTAGCAGCAGTAATATAGTGAAGTTTGATCAGTTCTACCGTTATTCTTGAAGTGCTTATGGTATCGATGAAACTGAAATAGGTTGCCCCGGAGCCCTTATAAGGGATGTTTTGTAAGGATTTTTGGTTTGAGCAGGGCTCTAGGGCGTAGCAGTAGTAATGTAGTGAAGTTTGATCAGTTGCATCGTAGCTCTTGGAGTGCTTATGATATCGATGAAACTGAAGATGGTTGCCCCAGAGCCCTTATAGGGGATGGTTTATGAGGGCTTTTGGTTTGAATAGGGCACCAGGGCGTAGCAGCTACAAGGTAGTGAAGGTTGATCGGTCCCACCGCAGCTCTTGGAGTGTATATGGTATCGATGTTACAGTGGTAAGTTGCCCCAGAGCCTTTATAGGGGATGGTTTATAAGAGTTTTTGGTTTGAATAGGGCTCCAGAGAGTAACAGCAGTAATGTAGTGAAGTTTGATCAGTTCCACCGTAATTCTTGAAGTGCTTATGGTATCGATGAACCTGAAGTTGGTTGCCCCAGAGCCCTTATAGGGGATGGTTTATAAGGGTTTTTGGTTTGAGCGGGGCTCCAGGGCGTAACTGCAGTAATGTAGCGAAGATTGATTAGTTGCACCGTTCTTCTTGGAGTGCTTATTATATCGATAAAACTGAAATAGATTGCCCGAGAGCCCTTAAAGGGGATGATTTATATTAATTTTGGTTTGAATAGGGCTCCAGAGCGTATCGGCAGTAATGTAGTGAATTTTGATCAGTTCCACCGTAATTCTTGAAGTGCTTATGGTATCGATGAACCTGAAGTAGGGTTGCCACAGAGCCCTTATAGGGGATGGTTTATAAGCGTTTGTTTGGTTTGAATAGGCCTCCGGGGCGTATCAGCAGTAATGTAGTGAAGTTTGATCAGTTCCACCGAAATTCTTGAAGTGCTTATGGTATCGATGAAACTGAAGTTGGTTGTCCCAGAGCACTTATAGGGGATGTTTTATAAGGGTTTTTGGTTTGAGCATGGCTCCAGGGCGTAGCTGCAGTAATGTAGTGAAGTTTTATCAGTTCTACCGTAATTCATGAAGTTCTTATGGTATCGATGAACCTGAAGTAGGTTGCCCCAGAGCCCTTATAGGGGATGGCTTTTAAGGGTTTTCGGTTTGAATAAGGCTCCTGGGCGTAGCAGCAGTAATGTAGTGAAGTTTTATCAGTTCTACCGTAATTCTTGAACCTGAAATAGGTTGCCCCAGAGCCCTTATAAGGGATGTTTTGTAAGGGTTTTTGGTTTGAGCAGGGCTCCAGGGCGTAGCAGTAGTAATGTACCGAAGTTTGATTAGTTGCATCGTTGTTCTTGGAGTGTTTATGATATCGATGAAACTGAAGAAGGTTGCCCCAGAGCCCTTATAGGGGATGGTTTATGAGGGCTTTTGGTTTGAATAGGGCACCAGGGCGTAACAGCTGCAAGGTGGTGAAGGTTGATCGGTCCCATCGCAGCTCTTGGAGTGTATATGGTATCGATGTTACAGTGGTAAGTTGCCCCAGAGCCTTTATAGGGGATGGTTTATAAGAGTTTTTGGTTTGAATAGGGCTCCAGGGAGTAGCAGCAGTAATGTAGTGAAGTTTGATCAGTTCCACCGTAATTCTTCAAGTGCTTATGGTATCGATGAACCTGAAGTTGGTTGCCCCAGAGACCTTATAGGGGATGTTTTATA